TTCTGCTATGTTGTACAAACCTGATTGGTTCACAAATGTCCTGTTTTAATAATAATTCTGTAATCCTATAAAAACTCTAACTTAACAATCACCAGGGCTGCTTCTACTCCTGAGATAGACAGCCCGGCCGGTCGAAAATTAAAATTTACCTTGCTACTTTTCTTAAAGTGGTGTTGGTGATTTTTTACAAACTCTGTCCTATAACAGTCAGCACTTAAGAGAGAGCACTACTCTTTGCAGAGGACCTGGGTTCAGTTCCTGGTACCCACATCAAGCTGTTCACAGCTACCTGTAATACAGTTCCAGGGAATCCAACACTCCCTTCTGGCCTGTGTGGGCACCTGCACACATGTGGTGCACATATATACACAAGCACACACACATACACTTAAATAAATAAATCCTTTTTATTGATCTTTTTTAAAGACAGGGTTTCCCTGTAGCCCCAGCTGGCCTGGAACTCACTATGGAGACCAGGCTGGGCTGGATCTCACAGAGATCTGCCTGCCTCTGCCTCCTGAGTGCTGGGATGAAAGGCATGTGCCAGCATGCCCAGCTTAAAATAAATAAATCTTTTTAAAAAATCATTCTGAGGCCAGCCTGGTCAACATAATGAGACTTGTCTGATCAGGTAAGAGTCAAGAGAAGAGAAGAGAGAGAGAGAGAGAGAGAGAGAGAGAGAGAGAGAGAGAGAGAGAGAGATTGGTGTGGGGGCGTGAGAGAGAGAGAGAGAGAGAGAGAGAGAGAGAGAGAGAGAGAGAGAAAATCGAAGCTGGGTGTGGTGCTGCACACCTTTAATCCTAGAACTCTGGAGGCAGAGGCAGGCAGATCTCTGTGCATTCAAGGCCAGCCTGATCTACATAGTGAGCTCCAGGACAGCTGAGGCTACAGGGAGACCCTGTTCTTGCAGAGGACCCAAGTTTGATTTCCAACACCCACATGGCGGCTATGAACAGTTCTTAACTCCAGTTCCAGGAGAATCTGAAGCCCTCTTCTGACCTCCGCGGCATTGCATGACACGGGTGCACTGACATACATGCAGGCAATACATTCATACACATAAAATAAAAATAATAAATAAAATATTTAAAAGAAATAGGCGTAGTGGCACACGCCTTTAATCCCAGCACTCCGGAGGCAGAGGCAGGCAGATCTCTGTGAATTCAAGGCCAGCCTGGTCTACATAGTGAGTTCTAGGACAGCTGGGGCTACAGGGAGACCCTGTCTCAAAAAAGACCAAAAAAAAAAATTAAAAGAAAAAGACAGAGAGAGAGAGACAGAGACAGAGAGAAAATTGATAACTTTATACTTTGTTCTTCCCAAGGCTTTCCAGAGCTGAACTGTGCAGTGAGGGCATGGCACACTCGTTGCCCATTTTACCAGATCCTCAGCCTCTCCTTTCATTCTTTCCCTCTTCCTTAGATATTACTGCTCCCTGTGTTTGACTGCTTTTCTGTTATTAGCTATCGGATCACATCTATGCTTCCATCACCCCCACCTGCAGTGCATTTGTGTGCACAGGCACATGAAAACACATTCCTGAAACTAGGCTTCTGCCCCACCCTTCTTTCAAAACAAGTCTTTCCAAGGAGCCCCACATGTGCGAAGAAAAGGCATTGCATCACCAGCTACGTTCCCAGGTTGCAGGCCCCAACCCTCTTTATTTATTTATTGGTTGTATCAAAGGTTTTTTTTTTTTTTTGGTCTTTTTTAGACAGGGTTGCCCTGTAGCCTCAGCTGGACTGGAACTTGCTATATCAACCAGGCTGGCCTCTATCTATCTGTGCCTCTGCCTCCCAAGTGCTGGGATTAAAGGCATGTGCCTCCATGCCTGGCCCCAACCCTCATTTTCAAAAATTATTTTTAATTATGTGTATATGTATGTGTCTGCCTGTGGGTATATGCACATGAGTGCAGGTGGCTGAGGAGGCCAGAGGCATCAAATCCCCTGGAGCTAGATTTACATGTACTGTGAGCTGTCCATCATGAGTGCTGGGAACCCAACTCTGAAGGGTCCTCTACAAGAGCAGTACTCATTCTTAATTGCTAAGTCATCTATCCAGCCCCTATCAACCCTCATTTGTAAAGTGCAGGGCCTGCCTCTACACTGAACTACAACTGTAGCCTTTTCCTGGTTCTTAATAGCTTCGAGTCAGAGATGTAGCTGTATGGTCAAGTACCTATTAGTATGTATAATGTCTTAGGCTTGATTCCCAGTGACACAAAAAACTTAAACTCTCATTTAAAAAATAGCTATGGGGATAGCTACTGAACTACAAGTCTAAACAGGGGAGAAAGAATAGGTATCATTTGTTTTATGTGTACTAAAAGACTCCGGAGAATAGATAAGAATCTAATGAATAAATAATTTCTTGTGGTGAGACAGGGTTGAATAGAAAATTAGTTTTTGTTTTGAGGTGGGGGTGGGGTCCTCACTGTGTTGCCTAAGCTGGTCTTTTATTCATGGGTACAAGTGATGCTTCTACTCCAGCCTCCTAAGAGTCCTGGATTACAGGCACATACCACTGTATAGGACTCAAAATATTATTTTTAAAATGAAAACTATGGGCTGGTGATGTAGCTCAGTGCTGCATTGCTTGCTTAACATGCAAAGTCTGAGTTTGATCCCCAGCACTGCAGACAAATTATAAATCATAAATGTATTGCCTATTAAAAATTAAATTCAAGGTTGGCAAGACAGTTCAGAGGGTAAAGATGCCTGTCACCAAGCCTGATGACCTGAGCTCAATCACCAGGACTCACATGGCAGAAGGAGAGAACTGACTCCACAAAGTTGTTCTCTGACCTCTGCATTCGTGCCATGACATGGTCATACGTACACACAAATAAATACATACATAGATACATAGGTTGATAAATAGATGTAATTTTCAAATTTTTTATGTATATGAGTGTTTTGCCTTGCATGTATGTAGGTATACCGAGTGCATGCAACGTCTGCAGAGGCTAGAAGGTGTTGGTTTCCCTGGAATTGGAGTTACATATGGTTGTTAGCAGTCTTGTGAGTGCTGGGAATCAGACCTGCATCGGCTGTAAGCCAGTGTTCTTAACCACTGAATCATCTCTCCAGCCCCTAAATAAATGTAACTTTAAAAAATTTAAACTTAATAACTCTGAGAGTAGTGGTACAAGCCTGTAATCCTAGCGCTGGAAGGTGGAGACAGAAGAACCACACATTCAAGATCATCCACGACTATAGAGCAAGTTCAAGATTGCATGAAGGGCTGGTAAGATGGCTCAGCAGGTAAAGGCACTTGGCTCCAAGTCTGACTACCTGAATTTGATCCCCAGAACCTACAGGATGGGAGAACTAACTTCTGAGGGTTATCCTCTGACCTCACTCATGTGCCCACATACATACACTCACATACACAAATACTAAACAGTTTCAACAAAACACACAAACAAAAACTCTATTTAAGATGTCCTTTGTTAAGCAGCCTAGGAGTTGGAGAGGTGGCTCAGCAGCTGCTCTTGTAGAGGACCTGGGTTCAGTTCCCAGCACCCACATTGGTGGCTAACAACAACTATTTGTAGCTCCAGCTCCGGGGGACCTGACGCCCTCTTCTGACCTCTGTGGGCATTGTGTAACATGGGTGAACTTACATACATGCAGGCAATATACTCACATACATAAAAATAATAAAATATTTTTTAAAAAGAAAAAAAAAGTCTGGGCATGGTGGCACACACCTGTAGACCCAGCACTTGGGAGGCAGAGGCAGGTGGATCTCTGTGAGTTCAAGACCAGCCTGGTCTACATAGTGAGTTCTAGGCCAACTGGGGCAACAGGAAGACCCTGTTTCAAAAAAACCAAAAAAAAAAAAAAAGAATGAAAAAAAAAATGTCCTTTTTTTCTTTTTTAAATTTTATTATTATTGTATGTGTGATGTGTGTATTTGAATGCAGGTGCATACATGCCATGGTGTGTGTGCAGCTTCCTAGGCTCAGTCCTTGCTTTCTACTGTGTGATCCTGGCAGCTCACAACCACCTATAACTCCAGCTCTAAGGAATCCAATGATCTTTTCTGGCCCCTGTGGACACCAGCATGCACACACACACACACACACACACACACACACACACAAATAGACTTTTTTTTTTTTGGTTCATGAGTGTGATTGGGTGTTCACATTTCATGACATGTGCTTTCCACAAACCTTGTTATGAAGTCAAAGTTGGCACATTACCTGTCTCACATGAAAAATAAATAAATAGCCAGGTGTGGTGGTGCACGCCTTTAATCCTAGCACTTGGGAGGCAGAGGCAGGTAGATCTCTGTGAGTTTGAAGTTAGCCTGGTCTACATAGAGAGTAGGATAGCTAGGGCTACAGGGAGACCCTGTCTTAAAAAGACCAAAAAAAGAAAAAAGAAAAAGAAAAAGAAATAACTGACTCTTTGTGCGTTGTGTTTTGTTTTTGTTTTGAGACACAGGGTTTCAATATGCATCCTAGACTGGCCTTCATTTCACTATATGACCCAGGCTGGACTTGAACTATCAGCAATCCTCCTGCTTCAGCCTCCTGAGTGCTGAGATTGCAGGCATGGGCTACCACGCCTGGATCTATGCACTTTCACATGGCCTTCTCTGTGCCTCTGTCCAAATTTCCCTTTTCTTATAAGGACACACTATTGGATTATGTCCTCTGCTAATCCAGTACAACCTCATTTTAACTTGATTTCAACTGCAAAGTACTTACAAATAAGGTAACATTCACAGGAACTGAGGGGGAAGGATTAAGACTTGAACATATCTTTGTAATGGACACAATTCTGCCAATCAAGGATAATACAAACTAAAAAGAGTTCTCAAAAATGCAGGATAGAAAACATAAAAAGAGGCCACAGCTGGGCGTGGTAGGACACACCTGTATTCTCAGCACTTGGGCGGTGAAGGCAGGAGGTTCAGGAATTCAAAGGTAGTCTGGGTTATATAGTAAGTTTCAGGCAAGTTTGAGTTATAGAGTGAGATCCTGTCTCAAAGGAACAAACAAAAACAAAACAGAAACGAAGAAGAAAAGGAGGAGAGGAGGAAGGAGGAAGAGGAAAAAGGGGAGAAGGAAGGGGAGGAGGGGGAACCTGAAGTTCATCAGTTAATAACTGAGTCTCCAACTACTGGTAAAAACAAATAGAGCCTGGGAGATGGTTCAGTGGGTAAAGACACTTGCCACAAAGCCTGATGATCTGAGTTTGATCCCAGGGACACACATGGTGAAAGGACAGAACAGATTCTTACAAATTGTCCTCTGATCTCCACACACGCACCATGGCACATTCGTGCACACAAATATAAGCACACACATAAATAAGTAAGACAAATAAATGTAATTCAAAATTTCTCTCTTTCTTTAAAAGTAGTACAGGGGCTGGAAAGATGGCTCAGCAGTTAAGAGCAGAGCACTGGCAGTTCCCAGCACTCACATGGTGAGTAACAACCGTCGGTAACTCCAGTTCCAGGGGATCTGACACCATCTTCTGTCCTCCTCAAGCACTGCATGACATGGGTGCACTTACACACAAGCAATACATTCATACACATAAAATAAAAATAATAAGGGGCTAGAGAGATGGCTCAGTGGTTGAGAACACTGGTTGTTCTTACAGAAGACCCGGGTTTGAATCCCAGCACCCACATGGCAGCTAACAACTGTCCATAACTCCAGTCCTAGGGGATCCATCGGCCTCTTCTGACCTCCAAGGGCATTGCACAACATGGGTTCACTTACCTGTATGCACGCAATACACGCATACACATAAAATAAAAAAATAAATATTTTAAAATAAACAAAGGTAGCTGGGCATGGTGGCACACACCTTTAATTCCAGTACTCAGGAGGCAGAAGCAGGCAGATCTCTGTGAGTTCAAGGCCAGCCTAGTCTACATATCAAGTTCCAGGCTAGCTGGGGCTACAGGGAGACTCTGTCTCAAAATCACCAAAAAATAAATAAATAGGTAGAGAGCAATTAAGGAAAACACCTCGAAGTAACCTCTGGCCTCCACATGCACATACCAGAATGAATATGTACATACACTATACACAACATATACACACACACACACACACACACACACACACACACACACACGAAGACTGGCTTGAAGCAGGGTATCCTGGAGAATAAGTAATGAAGTTAGGTGTTTTGGTTAAGTAGTTGAAGGCATATTCACAGTGCAAATCAGTCAATCCCCTCTTCCTCCCCACCACAGTCTCCTGATAAAGGGTCTATGATGCAGTCTTTCCAGTATTGGGATTCTATTCCTTCTTCCTCATTTCTAAAGACAACTGACACCTCTCATTAGACAGGCTCCTCTTGAGTGATTTCTGGAGCCAGAACAGAAAGAGAGAAGCTGAACCTGTTCCACCAAGCAACCTAAGGCTGGTTATTGATCTCCTGCAATGGACCCCTATTCATAGCCTTCTGAGTGACCTGCAGATACTAGTATAGCACTCATGTGAATGAAGCTCACTCAACGCATCCTCCTCCCCACTTAGGTTCAGCCCAGTCTCTCCAAGACACTGAACAAGGCAGGGAGCCAGAGGCAGCAGCAACCCTAGTGTTGATCTTGGGTGTTTAGGGACTCTTTCCTCCACCCACAAACCCAGTGGAAACCCAGCTGAGCAGCCCAGGATGGTACCAGAACCTGCTTCAAATGATGCCTCTCTAATAGGGATTTCTCAAGTTGTTAGCATTCAACTGACATTTATTGGCCTAGGAACAAGAAAAAACTATGAGACATGCCTTTACAAAAGGCTTTAGCTTCACTACAGCTGTCTCGATGGATCAAGAAACCAGGCACAGTAGCTGGCCACTGACTGGCCTTCGAAAAATGACGCTATGAGGTCGACTAAGGCTCATCCCGGACTACGATGTCTGCCCTCAATTATAATGGCGGTCCTGACCCAGTTTAGCTTCTTGCCCCTAGGTACAATGGCCGCCAGGCGGCTTCACTTAGTTTCTCATAACCCCGGAAGACCGGGACCGGCGATTGGGCGGTGCCCAGAAATACCGAGAAGAAGGCCCCTGACGGTTGGACAGAGCTTGGAGAGGCCGATTTTAAAGGAGCCAGAGGTGCGAGCTGTGGAAGACCCGGGATTCTTGGGACGCTACGGTGAGCGGCTGGGGGGCGGGGGAGGGGAGAATCTAGCGACTGGACAGAGGACCGGGAGGAGGGCGGAGAAGAAACATTTGAACCATCTGGTTCCCGGATCCGGAGAACGCTGGGTGGGGATCCAGGCAGGGCGGGGGTTTGGGGTGGGATGCTGTCCGTGGGCGGGTCTTTCCAGGACTGGAGCGAAGGGCTGTGGGTTTGACAGTGTGTGCCCCCCCGGGGTGCAGACGGAGTTCGGTGCTGGACGCCGGCCTCCTCTGTCCGAGGGGAACTTTGCTACAAGCGTTCCTGCGGAGGAGGGCGCCGCGCGGCTCCTGATTGGGAGTCTGAACGAGGGGATCCAGTTTAGGGGATCTGGTGGGAGAGAGGACTGTTAGCACGAAGTCATTTCTTTGAGTCCTCGCTTGAGAGGGCGGCAAGGATCTCGGAGGGATCCAGCGGAAACGGAGCCTCCCAGGACCGGGATCCCAGAGGATCTCAGGGAGGAATCTGCAGGGACAAAGGCTCTGGAGGCTCGGGCCGAGGGAGAGCTGCGACCTCCGCCATCCGGTTTCGCGGCAGGTGCCCGGCAGGGCCCGAGTGATCCGGGCGGCGGCAGCTGGAGGACACCCGCTCCGGGCGGCCACCCGGGGGCGCCCTTCCGCGGAAGGGCCTGTGGGCTACCGGGAGCCGCAGGCGGACCATGAAGGGCGGAGCCCGGGGGAGGGGCTGGCCCTTACTCCCCGTTCCCCTGCTCCCCCCTTACCCCAGGCCGCAGCCTGGGATCCCCCAGGGACCCCCCCGGAACCGCCGCTTCCCCCATGGACTTGCCTGGGGACTCCAGGTGAGAGCGCACCCCGCCCGCCTGTCTTGAGCCCGGGAGTCGGGGATCCTGGAAGCCTTACCGGACACCTACAGAGCCAACGACAGGTTCAGGCAACTGCCGTCTCCTTTCACCCTCCAGCCCTTCTAGACAGCCGAGTCTGTGCCGGCAGCCCCTAGCTCGAGCACTATGCGAAGCCAGGAGCCCGAAAAGACCGAGGTTGCAACCCCTGGGGGCTCCTTCACCCCTGGAAAAGGCCTCTCGGCGGGTCCTGGCCGTGGTGCTGGAAGATGTCATGGCTGCCGACATGGTGAGCCCCTTAACTGAAAGACCGCTCTCCCTTCCCCACCCCCACCTCTGCCCAGCTCAGTACCAAAGTCAGACCAGAATCCTTAACCCATCATTGGGGCAGCCTCCTTAATGCATAGATCCCGGTTACTCCAGCCTAGAACTGAGAAGGGTCTCCAGTGGGTCAGCCTCCCCTGCACCCATTGAGCAGGAACCACATCTATGAGAAATTCTTCTATCCTCCCCCTTGGGAAACATGCTGGTGATGTCTTTGGCCTCACTGCATAGATAAGAAAACTGAGGTTCAAAAGAGACCAGTTCTGGGTGCAGTGGCTGGGCCTTTAATCCCAGCCATTCTGAGGCAGTGGCAGGGGGATCTCTGTAAGATGGAGGCCAGACTGGTCCACAGAGTGACTTCCAGGCCGTCTGAGCCTAGGGAGGCCCTGTGAAAAAAACAACAAGAGACCAGTGAGCTATCCAATGTCACCCTCTCTTTTTCATTTCTCCAGAACTTTAGAGACATTTAGAAGATGATAGACATTTCACACCTGTATCTCAGGACTCTAATATCTAACCCCTATTCAGACCAAATCACTTCTTTCGGGATTTGAGTGAATTCTAGTTACAATCTCTGTCACCTTTGTAGCTAGAGACCTTGTCTAGTCCAGCCCCATTCCATCATCTTGCTTTTTGCTATTTTTTGTTTTGTCTTGCATCAGCCTCACAAGTACTGGGATTATAGGCATGAGCTACCATGCCTTGTTTTTAACAGTTCTTCCTCTCCTAGGTCCCCCTGAAATCTCAAGAAGACACTTCCATCCCACTGTATCACAGCAATCATCAGGATTCTGTCTGCAGACAGTCACCTGCTTCGCCACCCCAACAGGTCAAGTGGTCCAGGTGAGTATGGCAGGCTAGAGAATAAGCTAGGGACACAGCTGGGCCCACTGATCTTCCTGTTCCTTTTCTAGGCCTCTTGACCCACTGCATTTGTGCCGCGAACCCTTGAGCCGCATCCACAAGTCCTCTTCCACCTCAAGGCTCAGATCAAAGAAAACCCCTGACCCAGAGGAGAGCCCTTCACAAAAGATGGATCGGGTCCCCCAACCCACCTTGGTGGTAGTACTAGAAGACATTGCCAGTCCCAGACCACCAGCTGAGGTTTGAGAACATTGGGTGAGGATGTCTGGGGGTCAGCAAGGGCAAGCATGAGTCTGGGGTGGGTCTCTGAGGACAAGGGCAACAGCATTTTAGGTAGCAGACATTACCTGAATGAAAGTTATATGAAAAAGCCTTTGGTATGTACCCAAGCAGATATGGGAACTGAGTTAGGACATGGAGAGCTGAGGAAGCCAAAGATGGCTTCTCTATCCCTCAAACCTCCCCTGTTTATATCCAGGGCTTTGCTGATGATGGGTCCAACTTCATAGTCCCAGCTCAAAGGTGAGTGGGCTGGGGAATGGATTATCAAAGCCATCATCCAGGTACCCAAAGCTGGAGGCATCAGGATTTACTTATCTAACCCTTCCTTGTAGCATCTTCAGAAGCCTTAAGGGACAGGGGAGGCACTGGCCTAGGAGGGACCTGGACTTGGAAGTTCCCCCAGCCCTTACCTTGCCCCTTCACCCCAGAGATGAGACTATGGCAACAGTTCACCAGCCAATGCCTGCAGCCAAGGACCTAGAACCTCCATTGCAACCTTCCACTGTACCTGAAGATCCCCCAGAGAGCCTGCTACCAGGTAAGCACTTGAGTAGAGGGAAGAGACTTGGGTGTCAGGAACATCCAACTTGAGCTTGATGCATGAGGGAGAAGCAGACCTATAGGTGGGGCTTATCCCTATCCCAGGGCAGAACATAATGTATGAAAATGGGATTTGGGCTTCAGAGGCTTGACATTGACCAACGCCAGGGCCTAGGGCATGCTAGGCAAACACTCTACCACAAAGCTACATACCCAGCCCCAGAGGCTTCAGGTTTAACTTCTCCTCACAGGATTTTAGGAGCAGGTTCATTCCTCTGGAGACAGATTAGTTAGTGTTTTAGGGAAGAGACTGAGGCAGCTGAGGTGGTGCATAACCCACCTGTGGCTGAGGAATGCCCACCTGTGACCCTCTCCTTTCCTCAGCCCCAGATCCTGCTCTGGAGCCCCCATCGACCCCACCACTGTCCAGCCTTTTACGTCCCCGCCTCAGTCCCTGGGGCTTGGCCCCTCTCTTCCGATCTGTCCGCTCCAAGCTGGAGAGCTTTGCTGATATCTTCCTCACACCTAACAAAGCCCCACAACCCCCACCCCCATCGGCCCCCATGAAGTTGGAGTTGAAGATTGCCATCTCAGAGGCTGAGCAGTCCAGGGCTTCTGAGAGAATTGCTTCTGTCAGCCCTCGGCCCCCTATCCGCCAGTGGCGAACTCAGGACCACAATTCCCCAACACCTCTCTCTAAGCTGTCTCTGGGCCGAAGCTACTCCTGCCCTGATCTGGGGCCCCCTGGTCCAGGCAGCTGCACCTGGGCCCTGGTTCCACCCCAGCCAAGCCGACCCAGGCCTCGGAGGCACACTGTGGGTGGTGGGGAGATGGCGTGGACTCCACCACCTCCTCGGCCCTGTCTCCGGAAAGAGGTCTTCCCTCTGGGAGGAGTGGGAGCCTCCCCTTCTCTCACTACATCCTGTTCGTCCACTGCATCCACTTCTTCCTTCTCCGAACCAGCAGAGCCCAGGTAGTGCTATCAATAAACCCTCCTGAAAGCCTTGGCCAGAGCCTGTGCCTGGCCTCCTTCCCTAAGTAAACTGGGTCAGAGATGGGTGTACTGCTGTGAATTCTCTTTGTCCCTGAGCTTTGACATTGTCTGCAGATTGGGCTCAACCAAGGGGAAGAAGTCAAGAACCTCAAAAGACCAGGTGCTTTCTGACCCAGAGACCAAGGTAAGGAGTAGAAGGACAGAAGCCAAGTGGGGCCTGAGCCTGTGCATTTCTTTCACCCTCTGCCTCATTTTTGCAGACCACAGGAAAGGTTTCTGGATTCAGAATACGCAGGACACCGGTCCGTCCACAACCAAACCTTACTCCTATGGGGCTGCCTCGACCAATCAGGTGAGAGGCTCAGAGGGCCAGGAGCTTCCTTGACCAAGCCCCTGAAGTGTGGCCTTGTCTCCTCCCAGGGAGCATAGTTCATCCAGGAAGATTCAATTTGGCATGACATGACTTGGCTTAGAACTTCCTCAGACATCACTTCTGTCCATGGCGTGGCCCAGAAACTGACATTTAGATCAGGCTGAACCTATCCCTTCTTCAGGCTACTCTGCCCAGTGTTTCTCAATGGCCTCTGGTATTTGCTCCCAGGTTAAACAAGAAGGAGTTCAGCTTGGAAGAAATTTATACAAATAAGAATTATCAATCACCCACAACTAGGAGGTGAGAAACTTGGAAGGTTTGAGGGAGGCAGCTGGCTAGAGCCAGGGGGTATGCTGATAAACAGCTCTTCTCCTTGCCTGGTCCAGGACCTTTGAGACCATCTTTGAGGAACCCCGGGAGCGCAATGGGACACTAATTTTTACCAGTTCAAGGAAGCTCCGGCGGGCTGTAGAATTTCGGGACAGTAGCCTTCCTCGATCCCGGAGGCCATCTCGAAGGGTCCGAACTGCAGCTGGCAGGACCCTTACTCCCAACCTGGCACCCAACCAGGATGTGGAACCTCTGCTGCAGCAACGGCTGAAGGAACTAGATGCCCTGCTCCTGGAGGAAGAAATAGATGGGAGACACTACCATCAACCCTAGGAGCGCCAACTCTTTGTCCAGCAAGCATAGTGTATCCATCCTTGAGGGAAGGGAAAAATCCCTGGGTCAGCTGTATTTTTTTTTTCCTAGTAAAGTTTTCAATATGTTTCTGATTCCTTCATGTCTCCAGCAGAGTCTGAAATCAATTTGGCAGTACCGGCTGATGTTTCTGTGTTAGTTGCCAGAGGGTTAGGAAAGGGGACGGTGCCAGAGGAGAGGGGTGAGGGACATGAAGGGGATGGAATGATCATTGGCAGTTCTTCATTCCACTCTGATCTGCTGGCAGTGCTGAGTATCAAACTCAGAGTCTTGTGCATGCTACCTGAGCTACATCTCCAGCCCAGAGATAACTCTTAATTTGATAATTCACTTATGGAATGATACTTCTGGAAAAAAGAAACCTCAATGCCACTGAGATCTGGGACCCTGGTTAGTTATAATCAAGGAGACTGAAGAGCTTTGTAATAGGCTAAGGCCTTGATCAAATGGCCCTGAATTCCTCCCAACATGTGGCTTGCTGTGGGACTCTAGTGCTAAGAACAATCAGCTATCATTGCCTGCCTATGACAACCTAGCTATCATAAGTACTTGACCTACACATAGGGGAATTACAGTCTTTTTGTTTTGAGGCAGGGTCTTGCTATGTAGCCCTAGCTGGCCTGGAACTTGCTATGTAGACCAGGCTGGTCTCAAACTCAGAGATCTGCCTTCCCCTGTCTCCTGAGTGCTGGGATTGAAGGCATGCCACACCTGTCTCTCAGTTTTGTTTTTTTAAAGATTTATTTTATGTGTATGTATGAGTGCCTATATGTATGGCCACTGCTTGTGCTTGGGGCCCTTGGGTCCAGAGGAAGGTGTCAAAGCCCCTGAAACTGGACTTACAGAGGGTTATTAGCTACCACATAGATGCTGGAAAATGAACCCAGGTCCTCTGCAAGAGCATCAAGTTCTCCATCTCTACAGCCCCAAATTAGTCATTTTATAGATAGGAAAACAAAGTGAGGGTGGTAGAGAGATGACTCAAAAGTTAAGAGCACTGGCTGCTCTCAAAGATCCAGGCTTAGTTCCCAGCACCCACATGGTAGTTAACAACCATCTCAAACTCCAGTTCTAGGGGACTGAAAACCCTCTTCTGGCCTCTGTGGCCTTTGCACACAGGTTTGCACCTACATACATGCAGGCAAAACACACGAAAAATAACAAATTTTAAAGAAAATAAAGTGAGCATGTCAGTGGTATGTCGACGTTAAATAATCAGGGATGGTGAGAGGGTTCAGTGGGTAAAAGGCGCTTGCTGTATAAGCCTGGAAAAGTCAGGTCGATCCCCAGCACACTCCAGAAAGTTGTCCTGTGGCCTAGTATGCCCGCCAGGGCAAACGCCCACACAGTAATAAATTGTTTAAACAGCACACCAGGGGTTAGAGTGTCATAATGTAGAGGCTGCCAACAGTGACCAGAGCAGACTGGGCTAGGATCCTGTCTGCACCTAGCCCGGCTCTCGATGGAACTTATCAAAGGACTTGGTGTGAGAGAGTCCTGGACACCAAGACGAAGTGTTCTTCACTGTGGGCGCTGGGACAGGGTGGCCACCACTCGAACCCGGCGGCCACAGGACCGCGTCCCACACCGCCGAGCGGTCGGATGGGAGGCTGCCGCCGTGCGCCTGCGCGACTGGCTCCCCGGCCGGGCGGCTCCGACCTCCGCCGCGCCTTGACAGCCGCACGCCCTGATAGCCGCACTCCAACTCCAGCACCATCCAACGCCCCGCCCCGTCGCCGTCAGCGGGCGGCCAATAAACGGAGAGCAGGAAGAGGCGGGGCCACCGGGGCCGCCCCAAACACCTACTTCTAACCAGTGGAGTCACAAGACTTGAGCAGGGCGGAGCTAGCCCGACCACCCAATCCGCGGTTCGAGGCCGCCACGCAGCGCCCACTCCCGGAGTCAGGCTCCGCCCTTCGCGTTGACGTACACTGGCCAACCTATAAACGACTGAGCCCTGGGGTTGAGGGGGCGGGGAGAGGAGGCGGAGAGAGGAAGGAGGCGTTGGCTGAGGAGGAAGAGGGAGGAGGGGCAGGGAAGTTCTGGCGGAGAAGAGGCCGAAGACTCCAAAGAAGACAACCGGAGGGTACGGTGCAGCTCCTCACTGCCCAGCCGCCGTTCGGGATTCTTCGAGGCGCGAGTCCGTCCGAGACCGAGGACAGGAGGAAGAGTCTTTTATGTCGGAGGACAGAGAAGCTCAACCCGTCACCGTTGCCTCACATCCGGGGCTTTGGAGGGCTGGCCCCCGCGGCCCCGCCCCCCCCCTCGCGCTTTTCATGGCTACTGGAGGCGGAGGCTGGCGAAACTGGGCCCGGCGGTGGCCCCTTTAAATTTATTTAAAGGGGTGGTCCCCCAACTCTGCCGACTCTAACGCCAGCCTTAAAGGGGAAGCCGTGAGCCGAAGCTGACAAATTGAGAACTGTGCTGTTGGGAGAACTGGTGCAAGTGGAGTTTCTCACCACTCACCACACCCCCACACCCCCGTCCCACGCAAGAAGTTCTTTAAATTCATCTTAAAGGGGAAGTGGCCGCTTGTGGAGGACTAGAAACTTAAGTGCGAGCTCTTAAGGGGACGGGCTGCTGTTTGAAGGCCCCTGGACTCTTTAAAGGGGTGGCCTCTTTCAGCCGGCGGACTTGAGACACTTTTAAAGGGGAGGTCTGCGTTTCAGGTCGAGCTTTCGGCCCCTTTTAAAGGGGTGGCCCTTCCTCTTCCTCGGGGAGACTTGCCTCGACCCCTGGCAGGGGGCCACCACCGCACTAGGCCAGCCGGACACAGTTGGGTCGTCTTAAAGGGGCCTGGAGCTGGACAATTTGAGGCCTCGCCTTAAAGGGACGGTCGCCCCGTTTTCATCGTCGCGGCCCCGCCGGCCCTATAGGGGGGGCCTTCGGGCTTGTCGCCCCGGGGGCGGCGCCGGCTCTCTGGGCCTTGGCCTTGGGGCAAGCTTGGGGCCAGCGGATCCTGCTTTAAAGAGGAAGCCGTGGCCCTCTCGTCCCTGGGCCACCGCCTGCGCCGCGCCTGCGATCCCGGGCCTGCAGACAGGCCGCTTTGGACCCCGCCGCCTCCGGATGCGGCGCTGAGGGCCGTCACCATGGAGACGGCCGCGGCCCCGGGCCCGGGCTGGGCAGCTGAAGGGGAGCGGCGGCGAAGACGCTGCTCCCGCCGAGACCGAGACCGGGAGCAGCGGCGCCGCCGAGGTCCAGGCGGCGACGCGCCCCGGGCCCTGTTGGCCGCCCAGCGCGGCTCTTCGTCCTCTTCGTCGCCGCCGCCGTCCGCTCGACCCTGGTCGTCAGCTTCCTCTGGAGAGCGGCCTGGGGGCCTGAGACGGCGGCGGCCTCGTCCCAGGCCTCGGCCACCGAGGCCGCGAGCTCGGAAGCGGCCTGCCGGTTCGGGCAGCCGCGGGGAGGAAGAGGAGGAGGAGGAAGAAGGGGGTGCAGACGACGGGGAAGCCGAGGAGGAGCCTGAGGAGGAGGAAGAAGAGGAGGAGGACTTGATCGATGGCTTTGCCATCGCTAGCTTCGCCAGCCTTGAGGCCTTGCAGGTGTGGCCTAATGGGATTTGGGGACCTTTGGGGGGTTCACAGGGGCAGTGAGGATACAACCCCTAGAGTGGGTGGGGTTGAGGGAGGAGTGGTGACACCCCAAACCAGAGCAACCGGCTCCTCTGGCCGGGCCTCTGCCCCACCCTGGGGTAGAAGGAGGTAGAGCTGGTCTCTGGGGACTAACCAGGTTACCCTGCCATAGAAGCAGTTGGGTAGCCTCGGCACCCCTAGAGAGTTGGGGAGCTTTCCTTTTCCATCCACTTCAGTCCCTCCTCCTCTTCTTCCTCTTCTTCCTCCTCCCCCCTCCTCCTCCTCCTTCTCCTCCAACTCCTCCTCCT